TCCAGCCGGCCGCGACGCATTCCGCGGCTCCGCGCCCATCAACCTCACGGATAGGCTGCATCAGGTGCTCCGGTGGGCTACGGGTTCGGTCGAGATCTTCTTCTCGCGCAACAACGCGCTCCTCGCCTCTCGCCGCCTCTGCTTTCTTCAGCGGGTTGCGTATCTCAACGTCGGCTTATACCCCTTCACCTCCGTTTTTCTGCTGGTGTATTGCTTTCTCCCGGCGCTCTCGCTCTTCTCCGGACATTTCATAGTGGAGACACTCAGCGTCTCGTTCCTTGTTTATCTTCTCATCATCAGCATCACGCTGACGTTGCTTGCTATTTTAGAGGTCCGGTGGTCCGGCGTCGGGCTTGAGGAGTGGTGGAGGAACGAGCAGTTCTGGCTAATCTCTGGGACGTCTGCTCATCTTGCTGCAGTGGTGCAGGGGATGTTGAAGGTGCTTCGTTGAGCAACAAATTAATGATCAGATTGTTTGAAGTTCAAAAAATGATTTTTTTTTTTCTAATTAATGAACAGGTGGTGGCTGGAATAGAGATCTCATTCACCCTGACGGCAAAGTCAGCGACGGACGATGAAGACGACGCCTTTGCTGAGCTTTACATAGTGAAATGGACGTCACTGATGATACCGCCCATCACCATCATGATGGTCAACATCATCGCCATTGCGGTAGGCTTCGCGAGAACAATCTACAGCAGCCGGCCGGATTGGAGCAAGCTGCTGGGCGGCGGGTTCTTCAGCTTCTGGGTGCTCGCACATCTATATCCTTTTGCTAAAGGATTGATGGGGAGGAGGGGAAAGACGCCTACGATTATCTACGTCTGGTCGGGTCTCGTTGCAATCACCATCTCCTTGCTTTGGGTCGCCATCAGTCCGCCGCAGGGGAGCGAGGCGGCTGCTGCCATGGGGGGGTTTCAGCTTACTTGATGGAAGGGATGATAGCTTGGTAATGGAAGAGGAGAATATAATGGTACTTTTAAGCTCTAGACATTAACTGTCAAGTATATATGTTTGTTCAGACCGTTTAAATTTAAATTCTTTTCGGGTCAAAACAAATATCAACGCAGATCTGCGCTGACCTTGACATGCATGTCAATGGAAAATAATCAGCAATAAAATCATAATTTTAAATGGAAAAGAACAAAAACAACAAACAAATTTATCTCAAATTGAGAAGCAGAAGTTATAGAATTTATATAGTCAAGAGAGGCATTAAAATTAATTTCTTCATACTATACATAATCATACATCGACTCCAGCCCCTCCTTGGCTCAACCATTACCAATAACAGAGCATTCACAACAACAACAACAACAACAACAACATAGAATTAAATCATCGAACATCTTTTCTAGCAAGAAAAGGTTCGATACATGAGTCAAACTTGCATCTAAATTTCAAAAAAATAATGTTATTGTGTTGAAAGAATACAAATAATTCGATCAGGAGGATATTTCAAGCTCTCAATCAAAAACTTCTTAACCATTGATTAATAAGACACAGTGGCAACAGAATCTGCACCTGACTGTTTCTTCTCAAAGTCAAATGCATCCCAATCTATTTCTCGCAGCACCTGGAACCTTTCTTCCAACGTTATAAAACCTGCTTGTCGACTGATCGCCCCACAAATCCCAGCTTTATATATTAAGCTGATACTGCCACCCATTTCAGGACCATGGAGCTTTCCTGTAAGCAACAGCCGAAGGGGCATGAAAAGAGACTTCCCCTGCATGATCAAATCCAAAGATGGGATGTTTAGCTTTAGGATGTTTGCTTGAGAAAACTAGTATGCTGTTCCAACGTCGAAATGATGGAAAAATCGTGATCAAGATGGCATGGAATTGTGCATTTTTAACAATTTAAGGGCTGTTTGAGATCACTTTTATTTTGAGGCATTTACATACAATCAATCCTTATGCATTCATATTTATACAAATACTGTTCAAATATGTAACATCACGTCAAAAATACCACCACCATTATCTTTTTAAAAGTGAAATACGCATTTTCATGCATAGATTTATTACACCAAGGTGTTGGAGTGCAAATATCAAATTTTGGGTGTTAGATATGTAAATACATAAAAATTGTGTGACATGCATGTAAAAATTTAACCGCATCGTCTGATTATAAGTTTCTGGTAAGTGGAAAACAATATATGGTAGAGCTATGGTAGATGTACGTACATACCACTCAGATTCCTAATGTGTTTATATATCTAATACCTAAATTTTAACTTTTACATACATGCCACTTATGCATGAAAATGTGTATTTCACTTTCTAAAAGTTAAAATAGTAATCTTTTTTATGTGATACAAAAGATTTAGGTGGTATAAATGAAAAGAAGCAAAATTGGGGTGTCAAATATGTAAATACATAAGAGTTGGGTGGGATGTATGTAAATGCCCCTTAAAACCTTATGAACAACTTCCAAGACAGTTATACCTCATAGCCACAAAATTTCATTAAACTGTTTGGTGCATACAAAACCTAGAATGAGGCTATTATAAAGAGAGATTTTGAAAAACAGCCCATGGCTCTTGCAGCATGAATTAAAAATTAACTTGTGGAAGTATCAACGCACTAACTAAAACATTTGTATGAATCAAAAAATTAAGATCCGGAGGGATAAAGCGCTCACAGAGAATTAAAATTAGAAGAAGCATTTTTCAAGTTTACCAACCTTGCGTTTCAATTGTTTGCCAAAGTTCTTGACCCATTTTTGCCAACCTGCAGGTCCATCCTTGAGTGCTTCAAGCAGGTCTCCGCTGTCGTAAGCAGAAAGCAAGCTGGTCGCCAAATCAAACAAATTATCTTCAACAATGGGTTTGCATTCTGCACTGAAGGTTAAACATGACATTCAGTTGATAAAACAAATACCAAGCATAAAAGTTTTATTTTAGAAAGATTTACATGCATACCATTCAATTCTTATGTATTTACAAACCTAATATTTAAACTTCCATTTTTACATGCATGCCACCTTATCTATACATGAAAGCATGTATTTCACTTTTTAAAAGTTAAAAACCGTGATATTTTTTTTGTGACATGAAAGATTTGGGTGGTATACATTTAAAAAGTGAATTGTAAGTGTTAGATATGTACAGACATTGGAATTGGGTGGTATGCATGTAAATGCCCCTATTTTAATTTAGTCAATGATCATTACAAATTACCTTGCTAAAGTGGATTCAAGTGGGTAAGACAGTAAGTTCGAAAGGGCTGTATCAGCGTCTGTAACCAAATCAATTCCATCCTTTAACAACTCAGTAGCTTCCTATTCATAGATTACGTGGTACAAGGATTTACGGTTAGTAGTGTTCAATAAAACATACTTCTCTAGGCAATGTTAGACGTGCGCTTTACAATAGAAGGCCAAAAGCAAGAAAAAAAAATCAAAATATTTATCTTCAGATGGTAGTAAATTAACCATTTTGTGTGCATTAAAATATGGAAAATGTAAATGGAAGGTTGCAAGTATGGCTCTCCTTCCAACCTTCGCACATTCAGACTGGGATAGCATAGTGTAACTTTTTTTTACTTCAAATAAAGCAAAGTATGATGCTAAACATGGATTAACTACTGTATATAAAACATAATAGGACATTTACATACATGGCACACAATTTTTATGCATTTACATATCTCATACCTGAACTTTCATATTTACATATATAGCACTGTCGGCACAAAAAAGAGAAAGAAAAAAATTGTTTGGGGGGTTGCCCGTAAGAAGCTGTCGGCAGCCGGAATCGAAATCCCGTCACCCGCTTCGGAAGAACTTTTTAATTTACGTGTGTATATATATATATATATGTATGTATATATACATATATATATATATATATACATATACATAT